TGTGCTCATGGGCTTTGGTTAATAAGAATAAGGAGTCAGCAGCTGGGAAAAAACAAAGTGGAGGTGAAACGGCACCGGCTCAGCCCTCGGGTAAACAGCAGCACGAAATCCTTGGGCTCATCTCGAGTTCCTTTTCCAAATGGGAATGAAGTGGTTTCGGCATCGATTTATCGACATCGCCGCCTGCCTCCCCTTTTGTCCCTTCCCCGGCCCCGTCAGGGCGCGGGTGGCTCTGCGGGATTTCGTGCTCCACGTCCCCTTTTCCTTCTTTCTGGTTTTTTTACCCCCTCCCTCTTTCGGTTTGTTTATAATTGGGGTAAAAAGCCAAGTGTGGTGGATTTACCCTCAATCTTTCCCATAAGTAGAAGGCTGAGATTGCTCAGTCACCAAGAGGCAGCTGAAGTCCCTCAGTGCACACCTTCAGCAGAAGTTGATGCTGGTTTAAGGGAAAAGGATAAAACAAAAGCAAAAACTCTTCAGTCAACGGGTGCAGTTTCCTCTGCAGACGCCTATTTTCATTCGTGCTTCCTCCCAGAATCTACACAGCTCTAGTTTTTGGGCAAATCCAGCTGATACCATGATGATAATTAAACATAAGCTTCGTTCTGGCCATGTCTACCAGCAGCTGTCCTAAGTACCTACTGGTGGTTTTGGGGTGCTGGATCTAGCTCCCAGCTTCCCATATATACACCCTATAAGCCTCACATAGATATATTTTCGTCCCTGGAAGGACCTGATGCTTCCCATGGTCCTTTCCAGTGGCTCCCCAGGAAACCAGCGGTGACACAGGAGCTCAGGCCACTCCTCCTGGGACACAGGAGCATCCTTAGGAGACCCTTCCCTCTCTTCTCCTGCTGGGATCTCAGACTCCTGCACCATGGCATGTGTCAGGGCAGCTCTAGAAATGTATTTCCCATTAGTATCAGTTCTATAAGTGAGCCTTGAAGCCTCTATTTTGGTACAGAGCAACCCTGCCAGAAGGTTTGCTGGGATGAGGGGAGGCAGAGTCATGAAACCAGGGTCTGGACCCCACCACGTAGCTGTCCGTGTCACTCACTATGGGGCTGGGCCCCACAGCACGGTGCAGTGCAGCTTGCCAGACACCCACAAAGCCACTTTAAAGAAAACAAACCTCTTTCTCAAAAACTTAAGCCCCCAAATGTTCTGGGGAAGCTGCAAGAGGGCTTTGGGGTTTTACGCCCCTGCGGGTACATCGGGCATGTGTTGGATGGTGGGATGGTGGCTTCCAGCTTCCCTCTTGCCCATTTTCCAGGGGATCCTGGTGGGTTTGCACCCCAGGAGGTTCCACAAAGAGCCCTATGAGCTGGGAGCAGGCCCAGGGCTGTGCCAAGCAGGAGCACGGCCAGGAGGTGTGAATAACAGCATCACAGAATCACCATGGTTGGGAGGGACTTCTGAGGTCATCAAGTCCAACCTCAAAAAAAAAACCAAACCCAAAACAAACAAGAAAAAAACAAACAAAACCAGAACCAACAACAAAACAGAAAACACATCACCCCACCACATCACACCCACCCACAACCCAACAATCTGTGGCACTAGAGCATGCCCTGAAGAGCCACATCTACACGTTTCTTAAATCCCTCCAGGGATGGTGACTCCACCACCTCCCTGGGCAGACTCTTCCAGTGCCTGACCACCCTCTCAGGAAAGTAATTCTTCCTAATGTCTAATCTAAACCTCCCCTGCCCCAACTTCAGACCATTTCCCCTGGTCCTGTCGTTATTCCCTTGGGAGAAGAGGCCAACCCCCACCTCTCTACACCCTCCTCTCAGGAAGTTGTAGAAGGCAATGAGGTCTCCAGGAGACAGCACATTGTCTCCATTTAAAAACAATTTAATCTGAATTCTCTGATCCTGCAGCTCTTTGAGAATAAAAGAAAGCTAAAGAAGCTTAAAAGGCAGCAAACCCACTGCTTCCAGCTTCAAAAAAAGCCTCGGCAGAATCAATTAAGAGTGTGTGGAGAATCGAGAGAGAACCAGAGGGACTGACAGGTTGAACCACACGAGCTCCTTACCTTCCCAGACCTTCTCTCTCTTGCCGATGTTCCTGCACAATGTCCATCCTGGCACAGGGGGGGTCTTCACGGTTCTGTGAGAGCCCCTGGATGATGCTTTGTCAAAACCCCACGTGGTTTACGCCCTGAGGAACCAGCCTCCTGTGATGGGGAAAAGCAGCAGGTGTTTAACAATATAGAATCATAGAATCATCTGAGTCGGAAGGGACCTTCAAGGTCATCTAGTCCGACCCCCCCCGCAGTCAGCAGGGACACCCCCAACTAGACCAGGTTGCCCAGGAAGCAACCTGAGGAGGAACAGAGGAGCAACGTGTTCAAAGATTAGGATGAGCAGTGAATGTGGATGAGGATGAGTGGATTAGGATGACCCGAGTGGTAAAGGTTTTAATTAGGAAACCGTCTTCGTCTGTCGCCAATGGACCAAGCTGCAGGTTTCCCTCTTTTTCCTTATCCTGCAGAAGTGTTTCACTTGGTTCAGTCACTCCACGAGTGAGGCCCGTTCCCCTCTGCAAGTCACAGAAGGCACAGTGTTCTGGTTCAAAGAATCTGAATCACAGAATTTCCTAGGTTGGAAGGGACCTCAAAGATCATCTTGTCCAACCGTCAACCTCACTGACAAAAATAGACACCCACACAACAAACAAGGAGCATCACCATCACTAAACCAGACCTCCCAGCACTACATCAACCTGTCTTTTGAACACCTCCAGGGATGGGGCCTCAACCACCTCCCTGGGCAGCCCATTCCAATGCCTGATGACCCTTTCAGTGAAAAAATGTTTCCTAATATCCAGCCTGAACCTCCCCTGGCGCAACTTGAGGCCATTTCCTCTGGTCCTGTCGCCTGTGACTTGGGAGAAGAGACCGACCCCCATCTCTCTACACCCTCCTTTCAGGGAGTTGGAGAGAGCAATAAGGTCTCCCCTCAGCCTCCTCTTCTCCAGGCTGAAGTCAATAATGTCCTTCTTACCTCTCCAGCTGTGAGGAAATCACATTCCTCCTCCGAAACCCCTGGCAAGGGGAGCGTTTCCACCTGCTGAACCAGGAGCAGGGACACCGTGGCTTTGGCTGGAGCCTTCTCCTTCCCACCCCTGGAGAACAGGTCAGGAAATCTCCTTCCCTTGTCTTGTCCCACCTCCCTGCTGAGATGAGACCCGGCTCCTCTGTCCCCCCTCAGAACGACCCCCATCTCCGGCCACCTGCAGATAACTCCTCCCTGACAGGCATCTGGAGCACCTTCGTTAGTCTTTATAATTAACAGACCCACGAATTTATTGAGTCCCCCCCCAAAAAAGCTGCCCGGCGGCTGTGAAGGCGCCAGCAACGGTGATGTATTTAACAGACAGAGGAGAAAAAAGAAAAAAAAACAACAAACCTTCTGCCTCTGCTGTCTGGGGTTGGTGATTAACGGAGGGTTCTGCTAATGAACGATTTAGAGGCAATGCTTAATTTTAGAGAAAAATAGAATACTATCGACTGCCTTGATGCTGAGTGGGGATGTAGCCAGTATTTAATTCTTCCCCGGCTAAATTCAGCCCCCGGCTCTCTTACATCTCTGTGAGTGATGTTATTTGTCCCATTGGAAAAAAAAAAAAAACAAACTAGTCTGAAGCATCCTTAATCCAGAGTAATCAATTTACCTGCCTGCCCCGCCGGACAGCCCCAGCAATTAGCAGCCATTCTGACAAACAGCTCCAAAGCACGAGGCTCATTGCAGGGGACAGAAGAGAGAACTTACACAGTTTTGGGTTTTTTTAACCCCACCAAAGCAGGAGAAAGCTTCACCTTCGCTATCCCGGCACTCGAAACACAAAGTTGAATTGCAGATCTGTCTTCCTCTCCGCTCCCTTCTCCGTTCTTCAGGAGAGATGATGAGTGTAGGTAAAAAATGGAGGGGTCCATCCTTAGTTGCTGCTGCTTGTGCTTTGACCTGGGGAGAAAAATCAGTGTGAAAGCCCCCCAAATCCAGGCACTGAGTCCCCAAGAGCTCCAGTCTCGTCCTCCAGGTGAAGCCACCTCAGCAGCTATGGCTGGCAAACGGCTTCCTCCCATCACCACAGCAGCTGGTGGCACCAGGAGCCAGATACTTTGCCATGATGAGACCAACGGGCAGCAGTATTCAGGGTCCAGTGCTTCAGAATCATTGAATTGTCCAGGTTGGAAGGGACCTTTGAGATCACGGAGTCCAACCATCAACCCAACACTGACAAACCCACCACTGACCCATGTCCCTCAGCACCACGTCTGCCCGGCTTTGAAATCCCTCCAGGGATGGGGACTCCACCACTGCCCTGGGCAGCCTCTGCCAAGGCTTCACAACCCTTTCCATGAAGGAATTCTTCCCAATCTCCATCCTAAACCTCCCCTGGTGCAACTTGAGGCCGTTTCCTCTTGTCCCATCACCTGTTCCTTGGGAGAAGAGACCGACCCCCCCTGGCTACACCCTCCTTTCAGGGAGTTGGAGAGAGCGAGAAGGTCTCCCCTCAGCCTCCTTTTCTCCAGGCTGAACACCCCCAGCTCCTCAGAAGTTCTCCAGACCCTTCTCCTGGGTCTCCAGACCCCTCACCAGCTCCGTTGCCCTTCCCTGTTCCTTTTTATCCCGTTCCTTTCCCAGCTACAGACGTTACTTCTACCCTTCAGGTCGCTTTTGAAGACTGAGCTTGCTCTCAGCGCGTGACACGCAGCAGCTGCAGGATTCTCCCCACCACCCCCTTCCCCAAGAAGCCGTCACTTCTTAAATTAGAGGCTGTCACTGCACCTTCATTTACCTACTCGCTAGGTATTAGAGTAAGACTCACTAAATTGTGGTACCTGTTAAAAAAAGAATATTTAAAAAAAAAGTGTCACATGATTCTAAAGAGATGTTCAATATTACCACACTTTTTCAACACATTAGTAAAAAAAAACACATTTTATTATTTTATTAAATTTTATTAATTTATAAAATACAGTTTCAAGCACTTAAAGCTAAAACTATCTAGCAGCTGTGAGGACACTCACTACCGTGGCAAAAACGAGGCAGAAAATGAGTAAACAGCCACCCTTGCGCTCCACAGTTCCCTCAGGTGTTGCCAGGGTGTGCAAACCTGTCTGTATTCCAGAAAAATGGAGCTGGTCTCAATGGAAAACAGCCCTGGAAGCCCAGCAGCATGCTCTGGGGAGAGGTGGCAGGAAGGGGACAATAGAGTAGCAGTGGCTGCAGGACAGGAAAGAGGAGGATGAAGCAACCTCTGCAAAGCAGAAGAACATTTATAGCCAACAGCTGTGGAAAGGAAAGCCCAGCACACATTCCTACGTCACGATCCCCCCAGAACTCCAAGAATTAAACAAAAAAAAAAAATCAAGGCAACAACTAGGACTAGGAGAAGGAGGTGACAGTGGCTGGGAACAACCAAAGGCCCAGACCCCACCATCCCAGCTGGTTCCTGGTCACCACCAGGTGCTGAGCTGAATGAGCTTCAAAGCAACCGTGTCTGTCATCGCCTCACACGCTTCTCTGAATTAAAAAAAAAAACTAGTTTAACAATTTGAATTGTTTGAGCAGGACAAATGTATTTTACAGGTGAGAAAACATCGTGCTTCCCCATGGAACGAGCTTCCCCAGAGCCTCGGGATAAAGTCATGGCAGGAAGAACAATCCTCTCCATGAATTTGGCTTGTGGCACTCTGCTTGTAACACAGTCTTCTACGCTGCAGCCACAGCCCTAGCAGAGGACAGGGGGAAAGAAACAAATAATCTGTTTCTAAGAGAAATATAGGTGATCCTGTCCTCCGTGTGGCACAGAGGTTCTCACCATTCTATCCTCCTTTTTGGCAGTTTATTCCTTTCCCCCAAAAGGAAGCTGTCCCCAAAGGACACTATTTCCCCTCTGCACAACACGAGAGCACAGGAGGAACCTGCTCCAGGAGCTCCCGAGGAAGAGCAAAGATCAGCAGTGGTTTACAGATACATTAAAATATATTTTTCAAAACAGGGTGCAAATGTGACTCCCCATTTACCTGCCAAGATTCCAGTTCAGTCCTTTTCATTTCCCTTGTCAGAACAGCTGGCACAAGCAGCTAACACAGCAGGAAGCACGATTCCTTCAACTACTTTAAGTGTTAGTGACGCATACGTTCTAATCAAGAGTTGGCATCTTTAACATTCTTTGTATTTATTTTAAGAAAGCATTTTGGTTAATCTAAGCGAGAATATTCAAAAGCCACTGGGAAGAAAATACATTTTTTTTGTTTCTGCTCAAACTTTTCAGAATAGACACTGAACACTTTGCCAGCTCATTCAGCAGACAGCACTCCGTTACGTGGCCAAGCAACGCGCAGAGAAGAAATTACACCCCAAAAAAAAAAGAAAAAAAGGCAACAAAAGGATGCACGAGGGTTGCTTTAAAAAGAGCAAGTTCAGAAACTCCTCTCTGAGGGTGCCGAGCGTGGCCAGACAGTCAAGGTCACCTCAGCCACCTTCTCACCTGCCCTACTCGCTGCATAAAAGAAAGCAAATACAAAAACAACGAAGGTTCGCATAAAAATAGATCATTTTTTGGTAGCTGCCCTCTTAAAATTACTGTACAAATAAATAAAATTATTGTCCATTTAAATATAACCGTTCAGAAAAACTGGAAGCTGGCAGGGGTCTTCAGATCCACCCACTCCTGCCAAAGGAAGGCAGGGTTGGTTGTTCACCATCTCCGAGGCTTCCGGATCACAGCAGGACACCACACCTGCAAAAGAAACGTGCCCAAAGTTGCAAAATAAAACACTTGTTGTTGAGAGTGACCCACACCAAAGGTCCCCTGTTCTGCCCCGGGGACATCACTAACATAGTGAGATGGGGAAGAGCACAGGGCAGGACACAAGTAGGCTTTCCTCAGTGAAAATCCCATTTCTCAGCAACTTTTATCTTAAGGACTCCCCAAATGACAGGTTATATCCATATCCCTGCCTTCAAATTCCTGAAAGAGAACTCATTTAGAGGTTTTTAACTCTGTTCTCAGGAGATTTACAGTTTGGCTGCCCTGGGCTGTAGAGTTCATTGCCCTGTGACAACAAAGCATTACGGAAGAAAAAGTATCTCTGTCCTTATTTGAATTTGCTATCGGAGATTTGCTCCTGAAGCACCAAGGTTTCCCTTTCCAGCTTCTGTGCTGCTCCCAATTTTCAATTAGGAAAGTCAGATATGGAATCGGGCTCTTTTCTGGACTGAAGCCTCCAGGGATTGGTTTTTAAGACAAGCCTGTTTGAGAAGGGCAAGTTGGTTTTCCTTTCAGTCCTCATTAACGCAGCGGTTTCAGCGTGAGACCACGAGCCATCGCTGCACCAACTCCCATTACATGCCAAAACCAAGCAAAGTAGGTAATTAATAGCTTCCTGCCCAACGGGAAAATAAAATAAATGAAGAGGATTGAGACAAGATGGGGTTTTTCAGGGGTATGTGCTGGTGTTTTTCTTCTGAGCCCATTATGCAAATCTGTTTGTCGCTACGGTTTCATGATGAAAAAGGAAAGTCCACAGGAATAAGCCTGACACTCTGCTGCTACAGCTTTTTTTTTTTTCTTCCTTCCTTTCTTTATCCTTGCAAATTCCTCTAGAGCAGGCAAACCACTTCAGGGCTGGCCTGCCAACTAGTGGTACTGCTGCTCCTACAGCATGCCAGGCCTCCTGAATCAGAGTAGAGGTCTCAGAACTACAGCTCCTACCCCACTAATTAAGTCGTTTTCAGTGATAAAACTGTTTTTTCTAGATAAAAAGAAGGGCTGGTCTTGTCCACTGGGATTTCAGTACAGCATTTTGGTGGAGCACCACACAGGAAGGTATTGGATAGAGAGGAGAAGACTGGGACTAAGGAAAAGGAAGATGTAAAGCAGATAACCTGTCCCAAGGGAAAAATGAAAGGGATAATTTGGAAACGAAGAGGCTGGAGTAGAGTTTTATCAAGATTGGCACTGGCAACGCTCTTGTTTAATTAACGTTTTAGCTAACAGCCTTAGCACAATTAGAAGTGTGCCGATGACACAGAGCTGGAGGTATTGGGGTTATAAAAAAAGGATGAGGAAGTACTCAGGGTCATTCACCGTTTCTTCTAACTGCCAGGGGATGAAACTGGGTAATAGAAAACATAAGGTCATTCATCTGTGAACAAAAGTAACTGCTGTAACCCAGAATGTTATTGATTTGAAGCAAATCAAGTCCAAAAGGGCTTTAGGATACAAAGTAATTATGAGAGGATTAAGTGATTTAGATATGAAAGGAGAGAGATGTGATCCTGGAGGAATATTTCCAGACTAGATAGTAAATGCTTTACCAGGACCTGAAGAGACTCGTCTGGAGTAAACGCAGAAATTATTTGGAGATGAAAGGGCCAACTTTCACAGAACCAACCAACCTTGGACAGGAAGAAATGCTGCTAAAGTTACAACTGGGCAAACACCCCGGGAGGAGAACAACATTTTAAGCTGAAGCACAAGTCTGTCACAAGACCCAGAGTATTAAACTGAGCAGAAATGCATTTGGGTTGCAAAGGACAAGGTCCTTAGCTATAAGGACACTCAGATGCTCTCAGTCTCGGTGACTCAGACACAAACCCCTTTATTTCTATGATGCATTTAGCAAATAAATCCTAAGATACAAAGCCCACGACAGCAGAAGACAGGACCTGAAAATCCTGGAAACTCCCTCTGTATTTTCATTGTCTGACAGATTCCATGACTTCCAGCAGAGCAATCTTGAATTTGATGGTGGACATTCAAACTTCCAGCAAGGCAGATATTAAAGAACCCATCAAGAACTCATAAGGATTAGGATCATTTTTTCCCCCCAAGTGGGCACATAAAGACAACATTCTCACTGCAGGACCGGACAAGACCACCAGACTCCCAAGCCCAGCCTTCTCCAACATATTCTTCAAGGCCAAATTGAGGACAGGAAGCTCCTCTATCATCTGGTGCACCCAGTTCTGATACGCTCTGAGCATTAACAGTGCTTTAATTAAAAAAACAATAAAAAATCTGTCTCTAATCAGACAGTTACTATCATATCTAAGTATCCTATTTAAGATGCACGCCTACAAATATACAGTAACTTTGCCCACTTCAGCATTTATTTGGTTAGAAAATATATTGTAAAAGCAAAAAATAAGCTGGAGGTGAGGGCAGAAATCTGCCCTCCTTTGTGGCAGTAGATGAGGTTTAGGGTAAAGGATGGGCTGGCCCAATTACAAGCAGTGCAGCCAATTCCCTAAACACCATTAAGGAGGCAAAAGATCCCTACTTAGACATACTTCAACCAAATTCCTGTCCCGAAACGTTTACCAAAGCCTTTCCTTCTTCAAGTTTGCTAGATGAGGTTTAGGGTAAAGGATGGGCTGGTCCAATTACAAGCAGCACAGCTAATTCCCTGAAGACCATTAAGGAGGCAAAAGATCCCTAGTTAGACACACTTCAACCAAATTCCTGTCCCCAAACGTTTACCAAAGCCTTTTCTTCTTCAAGTTTGCCTGGTTTTTTTTGTGGTTGGACTCGATCTCTGAGGTCCCTTCCAACCACTACGATTCTGTATCTTTCTACGGCTGGATTTTCAGCACCACTACAGGTCAGGTTTGGTTCAGAGGGCTTTGCCCTGGAGGTCACTAACAGAAAATGCCCCAAATGCCAAGCAGGGAGCAGCCTGGCAGTGCCACCAACCTGAACGTCCTTCGCCTCTAGGAGACGGAGCGCTGGCGCTTTTTGCCGTAGGAGATGAGCCTGATTCTGATTTCCAGCTGGAAGGCATCCAGCCTCTCCTTGGGGTTAAAAGCCAACATGTCACGCAGGAGCTTGCAGAGGTCGTCTGGCATGGACCTCTTGTTCTTCAGGGGGATTTTTAACTTCATGTTGGGGTTCTCCAGCAAGGCTTCTCCGAGGGGAATGAGCTCCTTGCCTTGGCAGATGTAAGTTCCTGAACAGAGATGAGGAGGAGTCGGGTTATACAGGTAGAGAGGAGCCTACACAAAATGCTGTCACACACAACAGGGAGAGACAATCTGGGAAACAAAACATCTGAGAGATGAGTGGAAAGATCACTTATTAAAGGGTGACTGCCAAGTCAAACACTGGGAGAAGCTGTTATCAGAAGAGGCTTTTTACTTTCAAATAGCAGCCAAGGTGCTGCCCAAGGCTGTGTGTGTGACCATGAGGGGAACAGAAGGAAAAAGTTTGAGCAAAAGGTGCTGCTTCTAATCATTATAAGGACCATTATATGCAGAAAAAAGGGGCTACTGACATGAACTTCCTCCATCCTGCTCTGGGTCACCCTACCAGGAGATGCAGAAGCTCTAGAAGAGGGAGGGAGCCCAAGGTTGTGTGCGTGACCACACATGGAACAGAGGGAGAAAGTTTAAGCAAAAGGTGCTGCTTCTAATCATTATATGGACCATTATATGCAGAGAAAAGGGGCTGCTGCCATGAACTTCCTCCATCCTGCTCCAGGTCACCCTACCAGGAGATGCAGAAGCTCTAGAAGAGGGTGGGGGACTCTGCTTGGCTGAGGCGACTGGTAAGAGTTAAAACACAAAACTTATTTGCTCAGTTAGTCAAATAATTGTCAATTAAAATGACAGCGCAACGCCATTTACCGTTAGCCAACTCCTCCTCGGCAAGATTAAGGAAGGGAAATGTAAATTTGCTCCTGGTAATCTAAATAATTTCACCGGTTGTTGAAAATGATTAACCGGCTTCCGAAACGGGCAGGAAAACCAGCTTTTGCTCACTCAAGCTGTTCTGCCCCGGCACCAGGCAAAGAATAAATGTTTCAAAGGCAGTGACCTGGCTGTGGATAGAAAAGGTTGGCCCCTGCAAACTCCTTATCTCCAGTCGGCGGGCAGCTGTTTTAATGAAATCTGCTCCTGCTTTGGTCTCAGCTGCAGCCAGTCACTTGTTTCTGCAGGCAGGAACTAAAACATTTATCAATATTTGGCGTTTCGGAAAGAAATAAATAATAGAATTAGAAGCGAGCCTACTTGAAGATGAAAAAAAAAAAAAAGAAAGAAAAATTAAAGGGGTAGCACAGTGGTGTCTCCAAGTTCCTCCATAGAAATTCCTTTAAAGAATTTAAACATTTCAAAGAAAGACAGACAGGTATGCTATGATCTCAGAGCCTGGGTAGATGTCTTCAATTATTATGCTAATGTGCATGACTGGCATTCTCTCCTCTGGAGATGGATTTTCCACTGCAATATACTTTTCTGAAATCATTTAGTACAAAGCATTTCAAGCGTGCATGTGTGGGGGGGATTTGGAGGAAGGAGGAGGCGGGGAGAGAGCAGGCCATCAGAGGAGTCACCCCTGTGAGATCTTCCATCTCAAAACTGGGAGGAAACTCGGCCAGATGGCAGCGAAGCTTATCTAAACATCCTTTCCCAGTTTATTATTTGGCTTCTTTGGAACATCCTTTCAGTGCTCCGAATGATCCCATCCCTTGGTTGTGCCAAGTCAAGGATACAAGCGGGCCCAGAAGCCCAATTCCAGAAAGGTTTTGGTTTTAAGAGCATTAAAAGCATTTCTGAGCAAATGGAAGCACACGGATACTAAATCCTCTATCAGGAGTGTGGCTGTGAGACAGATGCCTCAGCAACAGCTATGACTTTTTTTCCTCCTACAATTCTTTAGGGACAATAAGGGCCAAATCCATTTTTGAAGAGCATTCCTTCGGATAAGGGAGGCCTGACAGCAGAGAAGCCAGAAGCGATCTTTCCCTTAACCTTTAAATCCCACAGAGCATTTCTGGCAGAAGGAACAATCTTCCAAACAAAGCAATTTGTAAATATAAAAAGTGTTCCCTCTGCCTTAGTGATATCTCTTCAAGACCTGGAAACCCTGCACGAGAAGCAACCAAATTAGGAGTAATGAATGCTGTAGAAAAAGAGATTTCTTTGCAGCTCTCTTAAAAACCCAAAACACCCAAAAAACCCCCCAACTTTGGGTGTCTTTGGGTTGCAAATTGCTTGCAAATCCCTGGAAAAAGCCACATCCAAAGCATGACCCAGGATTTGTAACTATGGCTGGGAGAAACACCTCCCTACGGATCCAAAGTGTCCATTGACAACAAGACAGCACTCATCTGATCCTCACCAAGCAATTCCTTCTCAGTATCCCTGTCTCGGAAGGTGATCCTCTCCACCATCGCCCAGAAAATGATGCCAAGGGCAAATATGTCAGCCTTGGCAGTGTAGTGACCTTCCCACACTTCAGGAGCCATGTAGAAGTTGGAGCCACAGGCAGAGGAGAAACGATGCTGGTTGATGTTCCCTTTCCCCTGACACACCTTGCTGAGGCCAAAATCCGCCACCTGCAAGAGGTTAAGAGGAAAAAACCAAAATAACTTATTCCCAAACATCACGTTTACAAACAGGGGCTCTGAAATCCACCACAGCACGGCACTGAGGCTCCTCGGGTGGCAGCCCTGGTGAAACAAAACAGCTGATTATTTCCTCTGAGCTGCCCACTCCCCAATCCATCTCCCATTGTTTGTTCCCCTTCCTAAGATGGACAGAACAGGCGTCTGATCGTTACCTTCCTGTGAATTCGCTCTGATTACATCTAATTGGGCATAAACATACCTTGAAATACATCTAAGGGTAGAAGTGGTTCTTGCTGTTCCACGGTGAGTGCCCTGAATCTCTTGCATTACCATTATTATCCCTAGTGATTAAGATGACATTGATTTAAGTGTCCCTTGACGGCTCTACAGGTCGAAGTACAAATACCATTATTGATCTGAATGGTCACGACAGGAATTATCTGAATGCACTGACCTGTTATTTTATGTCCTAACTACTGGAACCCTCGGGATGGAAAGTTCAGGAGGGAGCTGGAACAGACTTTCAGTCTTTACCTCAGTCAAGGCACTGACACGAGGCACCAAGACATTCCCCACCTCCCCTGCAACATCAGTACACGTGCTCGAGGCAGCAATATTGGAAGCACCAGCTGTTGGAACGGGGCAGCATGTTCTTAAAAGTTTAAGGGCAGAGAAAATATTGCTTCATTTTTGACTGATAGCGATCTCTGTGATTATCTAGGGGTGCAGTTCCACAGCCCTGAACTGCTCCTCTCAAAGGGATAAGCAATGGATGAAAGACATTACAGAAACACATCATCATGTGACCTCTACTTCCTTCCAAGGCTCCTAAAAAAAACCCCAGAAAGCCCACAACTGATATCAGATGTTCCAAGTTTGCTTATGACAAGTATCACCAGACCAAAAGCCCATCATTCCAAAGCACGTGATGCACAACCGTGCGGGTCAGATAAAGAGGAACGGCGAAGTTTTCACAGAATCACAGAATCTTAGTGGTTGGAAGGGACCTTTGAGATCATTGAGTCCAACCACAAAAAAAACCCGAAAAAACCCACCAAAAACCCAAAAAAAAAACCAACAACACACCACACCAAACGCCCACCAAAACCACCGCACCCACCAACTAAACCCCACACTCAACACCTCACCATAAACCAATAACCTTGGGCACTAGAGCATGCCCTGAAGAGCCATGTCTATACGTTTCTTAAATCCCTCCAGGGATGGTGACTCCACCACCTCCCTGGGCAGGCTGTTCCAGTGCCTGACCACTCTCTCAGTAAAGTAGTTCTTTCTAATATCTAATCTAAATCTCCCCTGCCCCAACTTCAGACCATTTCCTCTGGTCTTGTCGTTCGTCCTTTGGGAGAAGAGGCCAACACCTGCCTCTCTACACCCTCCTTTCAGGGAGTTGTAGAGGGCAATGAGGTCTCCCCTCAGCCTCCTCTTCTCCAAACTAAACATGCCCAGTTCCCTCAGCCTCTCCTCGTAGGACTTGTTCTCCAGACCCCTCCCCAGCTTGGTGGCTCTCCTCTGGACACGCTCCAGCACCTCAATGTCTTTCCTGTAGTGAGGGGCCCAAAACTGAACACAGTACTCTAGGTGAGGCCTCACCAGTGCCGAGTACAGAGGCACGATGACTTCCCTACTCCTGCTGGAAGTATTCCCTTACCTTTACTATGGGGTTTCCACGTCGGTGAGAAATCAAAATATTGTCGGATTTGAGGTCCCTGTGCACTATCTGGTTTCGGTGGAGGAAAGCCACGGCGCTGCTGAGCTGCCTCATGAAGCTGTGGTTGAGCTGAGCGTCGGGGCTGCGGGACAGCAGGTACTCGTTCATGTTGCCACCATCACAGAACTCCATCACGAACCAGAGGGAGCAGGCTGACCTGGGATCCATGCACCTCCGCCCTTTCAGGCAGGTCTCAATGAGCAGCAGGTGGCTGTCTGATTTTCGGTAACGGTGACTAATGGGCTGAAAGACTTGGCCGTTCTGCAGGATGCACTCCTCCAACTGGATCACGTTTTCGTGTTGGCTCTGGATGCTCTGAAGGGCCCAGAACTCTTGCAGAGCCAGTTCCACGTTTTCGGGCACGTTGCAGTGCATCTTTTTTACGGCTACTTTGCTTCTGGTTTGATTCACGATGGCTTCATAAACGACCCCGTAGCTCCCCCGGCCCACTTCTCGGATGATGCTGTACTTGGCTTCCGTAGCCATCCCCCACCTCGGCCCAGTGAACAGCAAATCAGGAGAAAATATTCGAATTCATGGCAAGCGGTCGTCGCCCTGCAGTAAAACCCTGGAAGGAAAGGGGATAAAAAGCTTAAAACTCCCCCAAACAAAGCAGCTTACCAAGCAGCGACTGCAAATGCTTCCAACCGGTATCAATTTTAGCAGTATATGCATGGGTATATGATGCAGCTGCACAAGGGCTGGCAGCTAAAACGGAGTTTTAAGAGAAAGCTGATATCCATGGTAACTTTGAGACATTATCAAGTACAATCCTGACTGCACAGCGGGATACAGCCACCTGGGAAGCGCCATCGATTTGTCCAACAGCGGACAAAGTTTAGCGAGAAAGAAAAAAGAGTTATTACAGACACGTTTTCTAAGCAGGGCAGGAAAGGAAAGACAAGACCTCCTGGGTAACGGCTCAACTTACTGTTACCAGAATTGACTTTTAAAGAAATAAAGGTAGCCAGAAGTCCCCGTTTGGCACTAAATCTTTCTCTCTCACTTTCCCCCCCTCTCGTAAATGTACTTATCCATCAATGGCTACACCATGTCCCTGCGCTTCCACTGCCAATTTTCTACCAGGCCATTACCTGATACCTTCTTTCTCTAGCTCACCTTCTTCCAACCCATTCATGAGCCCTAGACTGCCCTTCCCCTCCACCTCAAGCTCCTGTCCCACCCCCAGGTTGTTCTTCGCTCTCCTGCACAGCCTCTCCCTGCGATTCTCATGGTCCTTCCTTCAATCCCCCCTCAGCTCTATCCCCCAATAATCCTGCTCCCATTTTAGCCCCCCATCTCACTTCTCCCTGTTCTTCAACACTAGACCAAGTTTAGCTCCTTATTAACACATACTTTCTTCTCTCCCAACTCAATTTTTCTTTGCTTTCATGCCTGACACGTTCCTTTCCCAATCCCCCACTTACTGCTGCCCTCAAAGCCCCCCCCAATTTTCCTCCTTTCCCACTCTCAGTCCAGCTCCCCCAACCGAACCTCCTTCTTCCCAGCCCATCTTCCTTCTCAATCCTCCTCCAGCTCCATCCACCAGCAGTGCTCCTTTTCCAAATCTTTCATTTTTTCACCCAGCTCTCCTAGCCCTCTCCCACCCTATTCCCCACTCTCCAGCACTCAGCCCCCCCCAACTCCTCTCCAAAAATTCCCCAGTCCCGGACCCCTTTTCCTGCCTCCACCAACCCCTCAAGCCCAGCTCTTCCCACCATTTCATCTAAGTCCCCTTCCCCTCCAAGCCCCAGCTCCTTCTCTACCTCAGCCCCTTCCTGCTTCCAGCTGCTGCCCCCTTCCACCGTCCCCTCAGGCCCAGCTCTTCCCTACTTCTTGCCTACAACTAGCCCACC